GGGTTGAAAGTAGGGGTTGTGGGCATAGGGTAGGAACCCTGCTGGGGGTTGAGCATAAGGCCAGGGTGGAGGCTGCTGGGGGGCCTGGGCTGCCACCTCAGTTTGTGCTTGGGGTTGAGCTACCTGAGTCTGGGATTGAGATGTCGTTCTGTCAGGGTGTGTAGACTGCTGCCCCGGGTTTTTAGGTGGGGCTAAAGACTGTACCTGGGTTTGTTGGCTTGTACCAATCTCGTCGTCAGGGAGCGGCCGTAAGACTGAGCGGGGTGTAGCTAGTTGTTGCCCCTGGGTCTGGGCCTGTGGTCTTAGGATGTTCATTACCTTCTGCCGTAGTTCCTTCCAGGTCCCTTCGGATGGCGTTGTCTGAAAGTTTGAATATTTTGTCGTGGACTGACCTGACCGTACAGTAAGTTCCCCTGAGTAAGTCGCTGGAGGTGGAGAGTGTTTCGGATGGGCTTTTCGTCTGTAACCCTCCCATAAAGTTGCGCCTATTCTCAGCGGGGGCCAGGCTCCTCCATTAGTCCTTCTGTGATTGTATCGGCCAATAGGCCGTCTGTAGTTTCCTTGATTTTTAGGTTCTTACTGCATAAATTTACTGCATATGGTTTTCTTGAGATTCTTGAGGTTATCTTGAGATGATTTCGGGGCTTTAGTGTCCCCGCGGCCCGGTCCTCGACCAGGCCTCCACCCCCAGGAAGCAGCCCGTGACAGCTGACTAACTCCTAGGTACCTATTTACTGCTAGGTAACAGGGGCATTCAGGGTGAAAGAAACTTTGCCCATTTGTTTCTGCCTCGTGCGGGAATCGAACCCGCGCCACAGAATTACGAGTCCTGCGCGCTATCCACCAGGCTACGAGGCCCCTCGTAGTTATACCATATGTTATCTGAAGCTGAATTGCATTTGTAGATTTGCTTCCAAATAAGATGCAGTAGGTCTTTTCTATGTTAAGTGTTAGTTTGTTGGTTGACATCCATAAGTGGACTTTTTTTAGTTCATTATTAACAACATTATTTAGTGTGTGCGATTAATTTTGTTGACACAGTTTACATTTGGTCAGGTCTACATCAGCAGATAATGCGAATTCCCAGAGATACTTGAACTGGCGTTACTCTTCCTTTTTTAAGGATATCAGGGAAGGTATGACACTCAAGCGATTTGTTGAACAGCAGAGCTATAGGTGGCGCAAGGGCTATCTCTATGCCCTGATCAAGTGATCTATCTCCTTTCTTAACTTTACCTATAAGGTTCTTCAGATCCTTTGTTATCCACTTTGGATCATTAGTATTCGATCTGGATCTGTAGTATATGGTATACTGTAGTATATAGTATATCTGTAGTATATGGTATACTACATTCCTGGGCTTTGCTTAGAATATTTTTAAATAGGTTATATTTTGAATCCACATCGAAAACCCCCTTTTACGTCACCTATTTCAGAATGTAAATTATATATTATTTATGCACAGTATTGTGAAGCAGTCTCCGTGGTGTAGTGGTAAGACACTCGCCTGGCGTTCCGCGAGCGCTATGTCATGGGTTCGTATCCTGGCCGGGGAGGATTTACTGGGCGCAATTCCTTAACTGTAGCCTCTGTTTAACGCAACAGTAAAATGTGTACTTGGATGAAAAAACGATTCTTCGCGGCAGGGGATCGTATTCCAGGGACCATAGGATTAAGGACTTGCCCGAAACGCTACGCGTACTAGTGGTTGTACATGAATGTAACAACTCTTGTATATATCTCAAAAACATATAATGTAATGAGTGTAAGTGACAGCGTTGTTGAACAGACCACCAACGATAGGAGGCCTGGTCAAACCAGGCCCCTGGGGACGTTGATCCGCGTAACCTTGGAAAGAAAAAGTAACCGCAAGGTAAAGTAATCCTCCCCAGGGGCGATAGACTTCCCAACCTTAATTGTCATCTTTATGTTTAACATTACTCTTCATGCTTTAGAAATTTGCTATCATTTTATTCCAGGATGGTTGAGGCAGTTGATAGTGGTAAGGTTTGTGATGTTGTGTACCTTGACTTTAGCAAAGCTTTTGATACAGTGCCACATGAAAGTCTGATTAAAAAGATAGAAGCTCATGGAATTGGGGTGCTATATTAAGTTGAATTAGGGCATGGCTATACCAAAGGAAACAATGTTAGTATCAATGGGGTTAAGTCAGAGTGGGAAAATGTTGTAAGTAGAGTGCCTCAAGGCTCTGTCCTGGGACCTCTGCAATTCATAATATATATAAAGGATTTATATTGAGGTTTGAGCAGTAACATTTGCAAATTTGCCGATGATACAGAAATCGGGAGAGAAATAAGCTCAGAAAAAGACTCACTATCAATTCAAGATGATCTAAATAGGGTTTTGAATGGTCAAAGGATTGGCAGATGCAGTTTAATGCTGACAAATGTAAGGTTTTGAGGCTAGGTAATGATGATAGAGTTACAAGATATTTACTAGATGGTATTGAGATTGCGAAGTAATATTGCGAAAGGGATCTGGGGGTTATGATTAGTAAGAATTTAGTAAGATTAGTAAGAATTAGTAAGAAGTAAGAATTAGTTATGAATTAGTAAGAAAGCAAGGAACCCATCCTCCTGAAATTTAATTTAGTTTAAAATTCATTGTATCGGGGGGACAGGAAGCCGGAGTGTATTTATACACGTTAGGCTTTTATCAAGGCCACCCACTACGTCCCCAGGGAGGAATTACTGACCCCATCCAGGATGCAACTCTACAACAAACTGGCTAACTCCTGAGTACCCACTTACTGGTAGATGAACAGATGCATTAGGTGAAAGGAAATATGTCCAACCATTTATGTCCCACCCGGAATACTCGTATCACATTAGCAACCTTCCACGACTAACTTGCACATTGCCTGACTCTTGGTTTATGATGGTACGCAGGCTGTGACCTTTCAATTAGGATTCGATTGATAAAGATTAAGCCACCCAAAAGGTGGCACGGGCATGAATAGCCCGTAAGTGGTGGCCCTTTTGAGCCATTACCAGTATCAATAGATGATACTGGAGATCTGTGGAGGTGCGACTGCACCCTGCGTGACGGGAGATGCCTCCTGTGAATTAGGATTCCCTGGGAGGGGTTGTATATAGGTAAGTGTAGAGTGGGCAGTGTTGTCAAGGGAGGTGGTGTAATTGTTGCATTCACCTTGCAAGTTGAACTGGTAGCAATGCTGGTGCCTCTTAAAATGATTGAAAACATTATAGTAGACAGCTAAATATTTTCAGACTCAATTTCTTAACTACTAGCATTAAATAGATTACAATCAAACAATGACGTACCTGTTTCCAAAGCTAGACATACATATATATCACATATATATGTTTTCCGTCACATATATATGCATAAATATGCGCTATTTCACCATCCATGTAATTAAAAGCAAAACATAAGAACAAAGGTAACTGCAAAAGGCCTATTGATCCATACGAGGCAGCTCCTAGTTATAACCACCCAATCCCACTCATATACATGTCCAACCTACGCTTGAAACAATCGAGAGACCCCTCCTCCACCACGTTACGCGGTAATTGGTTGCACCAAAAATAAACAACCCAGTTACCGAACCAGTATTTACCAAAGTCTATCATAAATCTAAACTTATCCAATTTATACCCATTGTTTCGTGTTCTCGATTAATCTCGATTGTTTCAAGCGCGGGTTGGACATGTATATGAGTGGGATTGGGTGTTTATAAATAGGAGCTGCCTCGTATGGGCCAATAGGCCTTCTGCAGTTGCCCTTGTTCTTCTGTTCTTATCTTATGTTCTTATCTTATGTTGCTGTCACAAGTGTGTGTTGGTTGGTGTGTTTAACTTCTAGGTGAAGAGGCAGCATATAACAGTAATACTAATATTAATAACAATATTAACAACTAATCGCCTTCTGCAGGGGGGTTGATGGAGGAGGGGGTGTGGGTGATGGAGGGTGTGGGTGATGGAGGGAGGGTGTGGGTGATGGAGGGTGTGGGTGATGGAGGGAGGGTGTGGGTGATGGAGGAGGGTGTGGGTGATGGAGGGAGGGTGTGGGTGATGGAGGGAGGGTGGGGGTGATGGTGGAAGGGTGTGGGAGATGGAGGAGGGTTGGGGTGTGGGTGATGGAGGAGGGTGTGGGTGATGGAGGAGGGTGTGGGTGATGGAGGAGGGTGTGGGTGATGGAGGAGGGTGTGGGTGATGGAGGAGGGTGTGGGTGACGGAGGAGGGTGTGGGTGATGGAGGAGGGTGTGGGTGATGGAGGAAGGGTGTGGGTGATGGAGGAAGGGTGTGGGTGACGGAGGAGGGGGTGTGGGTGATGGAGGAAGGGTGTGGGTGATGGAGGAGGGTGTGGGTGATGGAGGAGAGTGTGGGTGATGGAGGAGGGGTGTGGGTGATGGAGGAGGGTGTGGGTGATGGAGGAAGGGTGTGGGTGATGGAGGAGGGTGTGGGTGACGGAGGAGGGGTGGGAGCGAGGAGCCAGCTGGACGTGTACCACACGGGTGCCATCAGTGTTGACAGTCAACACGTCGCTGCCTGCTGCCCTCGTCCTCACATCTTAAACATCTCAATATATTTCAAGCATGAAATATTATCCTTCTTAGAATTAATAATGTATAATAATAAAACGTGGGATACAATATGCAGTAAAATAGGGTAAGTTGCCCATAGTTACATACCAAATTAACTTTATATTCCTGAATGTGTCAATATTTTTTTCCCTCTGGCGTTCGTCAATTTTCCATGTTGTTATAATTTCCTGCTTCCATTCCTCACTAATGTATTGGCATTTTAAGTACGCACCACAGTTCTAATCCTGATGCGTAAGTTTATTAAGTGAAGCCACGGGCCATTAAGGATGGTACACTGTTACTTATATTAAACAAAAAATAACATTAGGTTACTCATGACGAGGTATGGGAGGCCGCACTAGCCACACAGACTCGGCCGGAGTAGCAGCCGGACTGCCAGTTACTCGCTGACCTCAGCCGACCCGGCCATAAGATGGAGGCCAATCACAGTGGTAAAAGCAATTACGAGTTGAACTGGAGTAAGGCAAAGCATGCGGCCGATCTAGTGTTTATGAGAAAAGGGTATTCGATAGTGTTACAAAATGGGCAGCGAGTTTACGGTCCGTGCCCCGGGTGGAGTGGACCCGTGCCCGAGCGTGGCAGCGAGGTGTTCGTGGGGCGTCTGCCACGTGACCTGTACGAGGACCAGCTCCTGCCGGTGCTGGAGCAGGCCGGCGCTGTCTACCAGCTGCGACTCCTCATGGACTTTACCGGAACTACTCGCGGATACGCTTTTGTTACATACGCTAATCCCAAAACAGCGTACTCGGCCATCAAACTCTTAACAAAGTATGAGATCCGGCCGGGGGTTTTCCTAAGCGTTAAACAGAGCGCGGACAACAACCGGCTGTATCTGGGCAACCTTCCGGCCAGCCGGACGCGGCAGGAAGTGTTGCAGGAGATGGAGCGCTTGACGGACGGTGTTACGAAGGTCATCATGTACCAGAACGTCTACGACCGCTCTAAGAACCGGCGCTTTGCCTTCGTAGAGTACGAGAGTCACCGAGCGGCGTCGCTAGCCAGACGCAAGCTCTTCTCCCAGCAACTGACCATCTTCGGATCACCCAAGATTATCGTCGACTGGGCGAAGCCGATGGAGGATGAAGCCAGCCCCAGGATGAGGAAGGTAAGGCGTGCTGCGGTGACAGGTAAGAAGGCTGTGTGTAAGAAGGTAAGAAGACAGGTAAGAAGGGTGTGTGTAAGAAGGTAAGAAGACAGGTAAGAAGGGTGTGTGTAAGAAGGTAAGAAGACAGGTAAGAAGGCAACAGGCGACAGGGAGATTCACAATTATTTAGGCTCCGGGTAGTACAGCCGGGTTCGTTCTTGGCTCACAATCAGAATACCGGGATCGAATCCCGCGGCGGACAGAAATTGTTGGGAACATTTACTATCACCGAATCCACCTGTTCACCTAACAGTAAGTAAGGTTGCATCCTGGGCGGGGTCAGTAATTCGACCTGGGAGGTGGGGGGGGGGGGGGGGGGTGAATCCTGAATATAATCCTAACGTGTATCAATATACTCTGGCTGCCTGTCCCCGACACAATTAATTATTATTATTATTAATTACAAGGTAAAAGTCATGTATTGAGACGTTTAGGCCACCAAAAAGTGAGGGAAGGAAATAGTATTATCAGAGGAAAGCGCCAAGCCATTTCGACTATATAGCACTGGGAAGGGGTCAGGATAAGGATTAGGGATGGGACGGGGGGAAAAGGAATGGTGCCCAACCACTTGGACATTCGGGGATTGAACGCCGACCTGCATGAAGCGAGACCGTCGCTCTACCGTCCATCGCAAGTGGCTGGGCGCACAGTAAGGGCGAGTCTAACTTAAGTGGGTTGATGAATATCAGATACTTACATTTAACTGATGTATAACTGATGTAGATGTATAACCTTGATGTATAACTGATGTAGATGGTTTAACAGATGTTGTATATATAAAGGAAGATCAAATATAACAGATGTTGATGTATAATGAATGAGTGATGTATGTATAATACAAGATTTATACTGATGTATATCAGATGACTGATGTTGATTGAATTTTGGTATCCATATTTCACTGTTGTCAAGTGATATGTCTTAATGGCATACAACATGCCTTTGTCGTAGGGCTTGTAACCTGTGTTGTAGGGCTTGTAACCTGTGTAGAAAGGCTTGTTATCTCTGTTATGGGCTCGTAACTTGTGTTCGGAGCCCACAGTAAGGCTTGTAGCCTTTGTGGGGCTTGTAGCCTTTGTGGGGCTTGTAGCCTTTGTGGGGCTTGTAGCCTTTGTGGAGCTTGTAACCTTTGTGGAGCTCGTAGCCTTTGTGTGGCTTGTAGCCTTTGTGTGGCTTGTAGCCTTTGTGGGGCTTGTAGCCTTTG